AGAGGATCCCATTGTCTCCCAAAGTCAAATGATTAAAGATTTTAAGAAAAACATGCCCAGGGTCATGCATGACATGTCTTGTGTCAGGCCTGTCTATGCCTGACCACGGGCCATGCCAAGCACGGCTCACTTGCCACCACTAAGCCAAAACCAGATATTTGCCTTATCTATTGGAGAATAGATCAATTGTTTATCTGAACAGAGGAGAGTCTCGCAAAATCTCATTCCTTGTTAAAATTTTAAAACTGCGGCTGCTCTTGGTGACTTTTGGTAATAGAAAATTTTGCTAGGTATATCACTCCTTGATGTGGATTATATAACTGCACAGCTGCTTCATTCCTTTGGCAAAATGTGCTCAAATAAGATAGTGCGTGATGCTACCCATTAGCTTACATTGCAACTTGGTCACTCTACACACTCTGTGAAGTGCGGTCATATTCATCCAAGGACTGGAATATCACAACTATGAATTAGTCTTGGGCAGATCTTCATCCTCTCATCTTTTAACATGAGATCAGATGATTAGGGTGGTGGTAGAGTAGCACAACTTGTTTGTTCGGGGGCTTTTATAGGATTGTGACTTGGGAGGAAACGGTTGAGAAAACATTGTAGAGAATCTTTGACACACCGAAGAGTACACACACGTCAAAGACCTTGTGTGTTGTGTTTAAGGTAATATTATATACTCCTTTGCAGTCCTCATACTTCCTTACCACCTCTCAGCGTTTATCTATATTTTTTCTTCCAATGCTCTTTGGTGTAAAATTCATATCTATTTCATGGCATATGGAGGTGTCACTGGAAGACACAGCAGGAGTGTATACCTCCCACTTGAGCTAATAGCTGGGTTTCTCAACATCCTTTTGATGGAATTGACTCATGATTACTGTTTTCAGATGGTGGAACAGAGGTGCATAGAGAAGGAGAAGAAAGCTCGCCTTGATATAAAAAAAATACATTTACAATCCTGATGCATGACTTTCTGGCGAATATTGCTGCAGCTGGCAAGAGATTGAACTTGACTCTGTGACAATGCTACTAGAAATGTATAAAGCTTGACCTGCGCCGCCCATACGATGTCCTCCACATTCGTGCAAGTAAGCTAATCTCTGCTTGGCCTAATGCATCTCAGATACTTGGATTTGAGCATGAATAATTTCTCTGTCGCCTCCATACCAATGTTCATTTCATCTCTTGTTCACCTGGAATGTCTAAACTTCTCAAATTCTGGTTTTGATGGAACCATACGTCCAGAGCCAGAAACCTGTCAAGCTTGCATTTTCTTTATGTTATGGTGAATATCTTCCTTTTCTGTGCACTCTATACATTGATAACTTCCATTAGCTCCTCCACCTCTCTTTTTGTATACCATCTCAACCTCAGTGGGGTCGACCTCCCAAGGTCAGCAGACTTGGTTCATAAATTGAACTTTCCTCCTCTTTCCATGCTGAAATTGAGGAATTCTGGACTCTCAATGCTGATAATTACTTCTCATCTCTCCCAGCAGTTGATCTCTCTTCAAGCAAATTTGTATCAGTAATTTCTGGATGGTTCTTTAATGTCTGGAGCCTCAAGTATCTTGTCCTTAGCTGGTAAGAGCTTGTTCTGGCAAGTGGTCAAAGTGGCTTATAAGCCACTTTTGTGACTTATAAGCCACTTTGACATGTTTGGTAAATGACTTATTTCGGCTTGTAAGCCTTTAAAAAATAAGCTGGGGTTTCCTAGCTTATTTTTTGGTGGCTTATAAGCCATAAAGTTTGACCAAGTAAAAGTCTAATATACCCCTCACATTTTACAAAGTTCCAAGCTCCATTCTCTCCAACCAATTAAATGCTTTTTGGTCATTTTGACAATAATTATGGGTTATAAGCAACCCATTTGCCAAACACTC